AATATAATTTATTTGTTTATAACAATCATGTTTGAAAAAATGCTAATGAGATAATTATTATTTTAGCGTGATAATGTTTCTCAGGCATAAAAGGTTATGTTCTTATGAATAATCTATTTTTAATTAATTCATTTATATTTTATTTTAATTTTCTGAGTTTATTTTTATGGAACATGTATTTATTTGTGTGTTGAATTGAATTTGTATTGCATAAAAGATCTCATAAAGCTTGTAATATTCATTTACGATCAATTTTAGTAATTCTGGGGAATTTTAACAAACAATTGTCCAAAAGTTTATAGTGTGATTCATGCAAATGGGGCTTAAGCTTGAAAGGGTACCTTAAGGCAGCCATGTTCTCTAGGCTTATGTCTACTACTTTAAGAACGCGTGTTCGCATCAGCTGAGTGTGTGTTGTGACAGTTATTTTAAAGAAAGATTGTTATATTATATTATAATGTTGTTTTCAGATGTTGGGGACTTCTAGCAATAAAGGTAGAAAATCGAAAAATTTATGCGGATGGAATATAGCTGTGATTATACCGTCAGACGTGACATCTCCCTCCTTAGGGAAGTTCGGTCCCCGAACTTTTATTAGTAAGTATAATTTTATGGTTATGTCGTTTAGAGTATGATTATATTTATAGATAATTAATTATTTATGTGATTTTTATTACAGGATTCTAAAATGTGCTCGGCAGTGTAAGAGCTGTGTTGCTACAGTTGGATTTATCTAAATCGAGGTAATAGTTCTATTGACAAAACATTTGTTTAGCAATGTGCTTAAGTAGTTCTATAGATTTGATTAGTAATATATTTTCTTCTTCTCTTCTCTCTCTCTTTTTTTTTATTTATTTTATTGGGTATATACACATGTATATTTGTACTTGCATACATATATAGACGCGCATATTTGTTTTCAGTGTTCATTCCTTATGTTACTTATTAGGACATTTGTTAATATAGGTTATTCTTATTTTGTTATAGGGCTGGTTATCTATACTGTCACCGTGATTTCGTTGGATGGATATGATAAGGATAAATTAAAAGTAAGTTAAAGCTATGTTTCTATCGTTACTACATTTATTCATATAAGTTTTAGTCTCTCCCCTTTTTTTTTTATTTTTATTATTTTTGTTTAAATATATTCAAGTATTTGCCGCGTGTTCTTTCCTTAGCTTCGTCTAAATCCAGGCGATAAGCAAGATTACGTAGTCTTTTTACTTCTAGCATAAGGCTTGTCGTTGACATTTTGCTTAGCTCTGTAAGGATAATTATTTATTGATTATATATAACGGTTTTATCTTATAAGAGTGCAGTAATTAATATATTTCATTATTGTTATAGGTGATAGGAGGTAATAGTGAGCTGAGACTGAATTAATAAGGATAAAGGATAAGTATTTCAATTTTATTTTATATTCTTATGAATATATATATATATATATATGTATATGAATGAGAATATTAATGTATTTTCTTTCATTTTATTTCAGGCAAGGAATAGGTACGAAATTATCCTGGATGGGCTTGTTTTACGAGTGTGAATATGAATACGTTATAACAGTAATCTTATAATTAGTAAAGCATTTAAGTTATTTGCATTTTAAGGTTGACTAAATATATGTGTTTTTCTATTTTCTATTATATACGTGTGTCAGCGTACTCTTTCCCCTTTTCTATGCATGTATATTAAAGTTAGAATATAGAATTAAGATTATATTCTACTGATTGCTACGATTTAATTTTCAAAGTACTTATTCTAAGGAAATTAAGGTCCTCCACCGTGCTCATTAAGTATAATCATAGGTTAATGTATAAAATTAATATTTTATTTCGATCCCTTCACCATGTACATAATAAAAATGTTAGTATTAGGTTAATATTAGTCTTATAGTAAGGTCGCTCGCTAATGTTTATTTTATTATTTTGAGTAATGCTAACGCTAATATAAAGGTGCTAAATAATAAGACAGTTCCCTGTAAGCAGTACACTAAAAAGAAAATCAAGTGGTAATTTATAAAGTTAAATATAAGTATATAACGCAAAATAATCGATAAGCATGTTTAAAAGTATAATATGTAGGTTATATAAGATATAGTAGCATTAAATCTTTTAGCAAATGTTTTGTATCGTTTATTGCTTAACGTGTTCCTCGTGGAAGAACCGCTTCACATAAAACTTGATAGGTTAAGTGTTCGGTACGTCCGCGTAAATCTATTATAGTAGTACGGCACTCGTGACAATCAATCGCGCGTTTAGTTTTTATTAATAACTTGTAACATCGTCCACAGTGTAGAGTTGTATGGACGAAAGTTCGCGAGATAAGGTGTAGCTGTCGCCATACGGCGTTCGGTCTGTTATAAATGCAAAATGTGTGCTCGCTTGTCGCACAATCCGCACACAACGCGAGTTCGGCCGCGACTTGCGCATACCACGCGGAATGACATATAAAGTCATAAGCCGGTCGTACCAGTGGATCTGAATAATCGCGGTAATAAATCGGTATTGATAGTGGCGGTTGTGTAGGAGGGGGTGGCGAGCCCTGCGGTATGGGAAGCATAGGGCGCTCACCTATTAAATGATGTCGGTTTGCAGGTTCACCCAGGTGATCGTATGATCCACATTGTCCTCCCAATGCAAGTGGGCTGCTTAGCGATGTACTCAGGCCGCTCAAAGAATGCGACCCACGGCTGCTGCATGCTTCCGCTCGCGTTGAAGATGCCATTGCCACGTACTCGTGGCTCGTCTGCGTTGCCGGGATGTTGGCGTAACGAGGCGGAGGCCTGGAGACATCAGGCAGTCTGATGGTGCCTGTCACCTCGCTTCCCAGGCTGTCATCGTCGGGAGACTCGCGGTTAATTTCATCGAGCACGTCGTCGATTAAATCCTCCATTCCAGGGGTGAGAGCTGCTTCCACGGATGCCACTGACATTCGCGGCACCTCGTAGATGGTGTTCGCCGGTGTCGGCGGACGCTGAGCTCTGGTGAAGACCTCAGGATCTGTTGGTCCGGGCCAGTCACGGTCCATATTGGGATGGACGTCGACGCCAGGAGATCTGGTGTCGCGCTCCGGTGGTCCTCGCTGCATTGGAATTGGCGACCGCCGATACGACTGCGCTGCGCTGAGGTCCATAGGTACATTTTCGTCAATTCCCGGCATGGTTAGAATAATCCGGCGGAGTCGTCCCAATATCCTGTGCCAACGTTTATAATGATTGGTGGAATAGCTGCTCCTTCTCATCCTGTGAAGTGAGCACAAACCAAAGACTAAATTTTGGTACGAAGTCATGTGGTTTGGTCACTTACGAATTATTGCTGTACGTCTTCAAGTCGTCAGTGTGTCTCTGCTTCCTGTGCTTCTTCTTGTAGACTATACTGGATCGTTGCCGTTCTTAAGTCAGACTGTTCGGATTCGGGCTCGGTACTTCGGCTTTTATTCTCTACTGAGGAGCAAGGGGTAGGTCCCTTGGTTCCTTTGTTACGGTTGCATCGTGCATAAAGTAAATTCGCAGTACTGCTGATCCAAGAAGTCCTGCTTATCATCCAGACGATGACCACAAGTATTCCGAGAACACTCATGCCCCATCCTACTGCACTGTAGGTGATAAGTCTTTGTTCTTGCATCCGTCTATCCTTGATCTGGCGAGCCTTTTCAATGATGTCATCAAAAGTCGTTGATACGTGGCTATTATTCATCGTCCATAATTCGCTTGTCGCTTCTGCCAGGTCGATTTGATATTTTTCGCGGATAGGCTCGTACAATTGTAAAATGCTTAGGTTGTTCATTGGAGTATAATGCTGTACGAATTCTATAGAATGAACGGATGGATGGCTCATCGTAGTAGTCCCTGCTTTAATTTTACATCCTTGGCGTATGGAAATAATGCCAGAATTACTTATTTCTTCCTAGTTGCTTTGTTGGCATTCTATACGAATTATTTCTCGTTTTCTTGCAGTATATATCCAATTTCCGGGCGCAGTTAAGGCTTTCCAGTATGTTTCTCGTAGGTTTTGTAATACTATGTTGCAATATTCCATTTCTATATTCTTATTTAGTAAGAGTTGAATATTACAACTTGTCGCTTGCCGTATCTTTTTCAAAGGAAATATAGCTGGGCAGATAAATACGGTGCTGGACGATATACATTCTCGCAGTTCTCCTTCTCGGAACTCGTAGAAGCTATCAGTGTCCTCGCTTATTCCAATATGTTCTGCGTCAGATTTAATTAT